GCTGGGCACCATTTCCTCTGGAGGAACAGCCCCTTCCCACCCCACCTCCATCATCCCACAGAGAAGACAGGGATGCAAAGAGCCCACAGGGATGGACTGAGCCATCTTCAAATGCTCTAAAAACCCCTCCAGAAACAGAGTACGAAGAAAAAGACATCCCCCAAACATGGATCCTTGGCAACGAGCAGCCACAGGGGTTCAAAGCCATCTTCCCTCCTGGGAAAGAGCATGGCCCTGCCTCTTTGGGCAGCCAGAAAATGTCCTTGAGTAGCACCTTCTCGCCCGCGAGCTGCCCCGGGGCCGAGCGCCGGTTGCCAGTCACTAAGGCCTGCAAGAGTTTGGGGGGTTCTTTGTGCATGAACCGGCGTCTCCGTGCTCCAGGTGCAGCAACGGATGAGCGGCGGACGGTGGGTTTGGTTTCATGGGGCCTCTCCCGCCAGGCAGAGGAGGGAATGTGCTTTGTGGTTCCCTGAAGGTCTAACAGCTTCCTTCCACTTTGATGTGTAAAATCTTGGAGAAGCCTGGTCTTTTCCTCAGGGCCTGGAAGAGGAGCAGAAAGTGGGGTTGGTGGGGGAATCCATCAGTCCTGCTGCTCTGTGGGATGAGGGAGGGAGAGGTGGGAACACCACAGAATCATTGAATCATTAAAGTTGGAAAAGACCTCTGAGATCATCGAGTCTGACCTATGACCTAACACCACCATGTCAACTAGACCACAACACTAAGTGCCACGTCTGGTCTCTTCTTAAACACCTCCAGGGATGGTGACTCAAATTCCTGCCATGAGAAGGACATGGGGCAAAGGAGGGAGAGGGGGAGAACATCTCAGACCCCTGCCACAGGAAGGACACAGGGTGAGGGAGGGAGAGGGGGGAATATCTCAAATCCCTGCCATGGGAAGGATGTAGGACCAGTGACATGTTACCTGGGACTGGGATCCTTTACCTGGAGTTTGTTCACCATTTCTTCAAACATCTTCTTGGCTTCAGGGCTGTGGGGCTCCTTGAAGTAGTCTACAATGCCCACCTGCACAACGATGGACTTCAGGTTCCGGCACACACCTGGGAGCAGAGACACCACCTGGATTCTCCATACCTGGAGCCTCCTCACAGCCATCATGGACCCTAAAACCCACCCAATGCTCCTCAAGGCCTTATGTATGCATGGAAACTTCATCCTGAAGATGGAGGAGACCTGCTTGTGGTGGACAAGACTTCTGTACAGAGGATGATGGGCTATGAGATGGTCCCTGATGGTCCTATTCCAAATCAACAGTACTACCATTTCCTTGGGAAACCCTTACTCTTCCATCCAGAGGTGTGGGTTCCCAGCAAGTCCAACCACAGTGACAAGAGCTGGACCACCAGGAACAGCACCAGGACAGACCCTCTTGCCAGCTGCAGTAGCTCCTGTCCTGGCAAATGGCTCAGCAAATGGTGTGACCCCAAACTCAGATATACCAGGGTGAACCTCGGGTGTGCTGTAGACATTGAGGTCTTGATTACATTGAGGGGAGAATCAAGGGAGGGTTTCCATCCTCTTCATGGTCCAAGGCAAGATCAGCTCACCTTGACCCATCCTTGGCAGGGGGATGTTGGATCCCCTCTTAGGCACCTTTCACCATGGGGCTCCCAGCACCTTCCAGTGCTGGCAGTGTGTTCCTGTGGGTGGGGCTGGGTCTGGTCCATGGATCTGGATATTTGGCAGCCTTGTGGTGGATGGATGATGCTATGCCCTCCCCCCTGGTATTGCTACTCACTGTTGAAGTGCAGAAGGGCTTTGGGGGTGACTGGTGTGGAGGTCAGCACCAACATCTCCAGCCCCTTCAGTCCCTCTCGACACACCTCTGCTGCAACTTCCTGGTTGATCTCTGCCACATGGTCCAGCTCCAGGACCTGAAGCCTCATGCAGTTTCGGGCTGGAGGGACAGAACACCCACCATTAGCATCCCACAGGGAAGGGATGAGGACACACAATAGGAAAGGGGTGGTAGGAGGGATGGGTGACAGCAAGGAGGGGTGAGATGCACCCATGGGCCTTGGGGTGGGCTTCTCCATTGAGATCCCTATGGAGCTGCCTCCAGCAGAGTCCCCTTGTCCTTGTCCCATCAGAGGAGAGGTGCCTACCTAAGGATGCCAGTCCCTGGACACCACAGCCTGCCCCTCCAACGCCGAGCGCCCGCAGGTGCGGCCAACACCGCCCGATCATCTGAAGGCAGCGGTTGCTGAAGCGTGTTGGCTGCTGGCTAGGGAGATGGAGAAGAAAGAGCTGGGGAGGGCTGGCAGGAAAGCTCAGCCCACCCCTCATGAGCAATCCTGGAAGCGATGTGGGATTGGGGTCTCTCCCAGCCCACCAATCTCAGGGTGGACACACTTGGAAAAGGTATCTCCACCCAAGAAATCATCCTGGGCTGTGCTGCCACCAGGGCAGGGCACGTCTGTGAGCTCAGTGAAGTCCTTCTGCCCCAAACCCTCCACCTTGCCCAGAGAAGTTGTGGCTGCTCATCCTTGGAAGTGTTCAAGGGCAGGTTCAATGAGGCTTGGAGCGACCCAGTTTAGTGGAAGGTATCCCTGCCCATAGCAGGGGGGGTGAGACTAGATGGTCTTTAAGGTCCTTTCCAACCCAAACCAGTCTGTGATTCCATGGTTCTACCTTAGTGGACCTGAATCAAGCCCTGAATGTGATTGCACTGATCAAACCAGCAGCAGGAGCCTGGACCTCTGGCTCAGATGGAGAAGCTGACATGCCATGTGCTGCTTCCCCCAGGGAAGACACAAGCCACCAGGACTTGACATTCAGCTTCTCCTGCTAAGTGACATCCCCTTGTACACCTCGATCCAGGCTGACAGGAATGTGATATTGCAACAAACCTCCCAGACAAGAGGAAATGCCCAGGGGGCATTCCCATGGCACAGAGGTGTGTGACCTGCTGTGTGAGCCATGAGCTCCTGCTCACCCAGACATTGTGGGGTGGAGATCCACCAGCATCTTCATGCCCCAAAAATGCTTTTCCAAAACTAGAGCAATTGCAGTTGTCTCCCTAAGTGACTTGACACCCTTTCAACAACATCCAGGCCCTTGAGGGCTGCTGTTACGTGGAGCAGTGAGGAGCTCAGACAAGCGTTTGATGTTCAGTGTCATCTACCAGACCCATCACGGCTTCCCTTTCATGTCTGGTGTGAGCAGCCATCCTGGAAGCATTCCCAGCTCAGCAGGGAGGTGCCTACACTCAACAGCTCTGAGCCTTGGCAGGGAGGGATGGGGCTGAGCTCCTGGACTCCCAAACTTGCTTTCAGGATTTCTGCTCATCCCATGAATATCCTCTCCAAGCAAATCTGGCACCCAATGTATTTCCAGCCTGGTGGTGCTCCTCACACTCAGCCTGGCCTCCTCCTAACACAATTCTGTCCCTGGAAGTGTCCAGGGCCAGGCTGGATGGAGCTTGGAGCAACCTGGGCTAGTGGAAGGTGTCCCTGTCAATGGCAGGGCATTGGAACAAGATGGTCTAAGGTCCTTTCTAACCCAAAACGTTCCGTGATTCTATGATTCTTACCATGGATGCAGAGGTGCAACCTGGAGGGAGATGATGTCCCTGCAACCTGCTCCAAGGGCCCAGATGACTTCATGACCCACAGGGTCCGTAGAGCTCCTGCAGCAACACAGAGGACACATGGTGGCCCCTACCAGCAGCAATGCTGCCCCGGGGGCTGTATTTGCAGCCTCCGTGCTGCTGCCTGGGCCACCTGAAGGTACAAATCCAGTCATTATATATAACCCATGATCTGCCCACGGACCAGCCAACACCACACTATCCTGTGCAGGAAGACTGAATATCTGGAATTATGCTTATGGATGTGCAATGTGAAGAGCAGTGGAAGAAGGTGAGGCTGAAGGTGAGATTGAAGATGAGGCAAGGCTGAAGGTGAGGTTGAATGTTGAAGGTGCATCTTCCAGATGCAAAGGTGATGATTGGCGGAGCCTGCCAGGCTATATATCCTTGCAGAGCAAATAGAATATTCCTGCAGATCTCACTGGGTTGGTTTCACTTGTCACCTGGATGCCCAGACTAGATGGGGAAGGTGCCAAGAGGTGGGAAGGATATGCCAGCCATGGGCAGTGGCTGCTCCATGGCCTCTGTCCCAGCTCTGTGGTCATGTCATGTCTGTAGTGGCTTTTGGCCAAATGTCACTGCAGAGTTTTGCTGTGGGTTCCTCCTTGGTGTTTTTGAGTGTATCAAAACAGGCCTCATGGGATGCTGCTGGACTCATTCAGGGATTGGTGGAGGTATGGGTTTATCATGAGTTGTGGCACTGATCAGGTGGAGCCACGTTGGCTCAGAGGAGCTTTCACTGATGCCAATGGCTCCCAGCACCAAGGAGAGATGTCACAGACTGTCATCGTGATGCTACCAGGCCAAAATAGAGGCCTCTGGCCGATCCATCACACCAGAGATGGAGGCTGTGCTTCCTGGCTCTAACTGACCTACTTCAAAACTTCAGGCAAGCCTAAAAATAAGTGATGGGTGTTATCTTGAGTGTTTCGCACATCTCCACTGAAGAAGGTTGCCAGGAGCAGCAGGTTAATTAGAGCATGAGTCAGACTCACAGGTTAAAGATGTGCCAGGAGAGCTTGGGCTTGCTCTGACGCCCTTGGAAGACCCCATGGAGGAGTCTTTGGGTCAAACCCAGCAGCTCTGGGCTGCCTCATGGTGTGGGATCACCCAGTCAGAGCTGTGTCTGAGCTCATGTGGTCCACATCACAGGAGTGGCTAGATGTGCTTTCCCACCTCAAGGACTCTCCATCCTGGGCTGGATGGAGGACACTCATCAGCTACAGCTGAAATGGCTGAGGCAGTCTGCAGGGTGCAGTGGAACAAGGATCATCCTTCGTAGGGAAGGTAAATTCTGTCTCCACAGGAGGCAGAGCCTCTTTGGAAGGTGACCAGCATCAAGGAGTGGTCAGTGATCTCCTCCAGGACCTACACCATCATGAGCCTTGTGTCCTTGATCTTGGGCGTGGTCTCCAAGTTGGGTCTTTGCAATCCCATGGCAGAGCTGTTCCTCCCTCACAGGAGCAAGGGATCCCAAGTTTCTTCTCCCCATTAGAAGCCTTCACCAGGGGGTGACAGCCAGGTGGGACCTCACTGAACACCTCTTCCTCATCCTTCTCTAATACAAAGAAGTGTCCCCATACCAAGACCCCAGTCATGACTCCAGGTAGGGTGAGATTGGTACAGGACATTGGGAATGGAGCTGGAAGGGAAATATCTGCATGAAAACATGCCAGAAGACAACAGCTGCAAGGACAGCTTGCACTGAGGACACTGGAGATGCTACAGGAGTGGGGACATGGAAAGGTGGGTCATTCACACCTGGCCAGATGGGCTGTGTTCTGACAGGGAACAGGAATGAGCTCCAGAACATCCCATGGATGTTTTCAGCCTTCTCCCAGCCCCATGGCCAGGGTGAGAATGCTGGTGGCCATCCTTACCTGTAGGTGACAGCCTGCAGGGCCCGGCAGTAGCAGCTGGCCAGCCAGAGTGAGCGGTCCGTCAGCACGTTGGGGCAGTGCGAGATGCGGAGGATGAGCAGGTTACTGCCCGTCGCCTTCAGCAGGGACTCCAGACCAGCTTCCAGGCAACCCCTGGCAGGAATGGAGGCTGGATCAGGCACTGGAGCCCACACTCACACTCCCCATGGCCACCCCAGGGGCACCCCAGGAGGGTGGCATGTCCCGTGGGGATCTGTGGCTCCAGGATGCCCAAAACCCAGAGCTGGAGCTGTTGTACCTTGAAAATCCAACAATGGAAATGGGATATTTGGGCTCATGGAGCATCATCATAGTTTCATAGTATGTTAAGGAGTTGGAATGGACCTCAGATATCATCAAGTCCCAACCCCCTGCCCTAGGCAAGGACACCTCCCACCAAACCAGGTTCTTCAAGGCTTTACCTGGCTTTGCTTTGAACACTGCCAGGGTTGGGACAGCAACAGCCTCCCTGGGCAACCTGTGCCAGTGTCTCACCACCATCACAGGGAAAACGTCTGCCTAATATCTAATCTAATTTTCCCTCTTTGGATTTATCCCCATTACTCCTTGTCCTGTCACTCCAGTTCCTAACCAAGAGTCCCTCTGCAGCTTCCCTGGAGCCCCTTCAGATCCTGGCAGGTTGCTCTGAGGTCTCCACACAACCTTATCCATCATTCCTGAGGACCAGTGGCTCTGGCTGTGGGAGAAGGGTGCCCAGGACATGGGGACTCACCGCGTGCTCTTCATGTAGTCTTCCTTGCTCTCCTTCTTCCCTCGCTGGCGTGGCTTGAGGTTTTGGAGGGTGAGGGAATGCATCTGGGTGCACCACTGAGACAGCATGGCCAAGAACTGTGGGGACAGGGGTGGATGTCACTGAGGGGGACACTCAGCATGCCCCACACCACCCATCCTTGGCTCTCTTTGGGCAGGTCTGTGCACATATGTAAGCCATAAATATGTGAAGGTGCACATAGGAGGCCATGCAAGAGTGTGTGCCACAAAATCATAGGTGTGACCACAAAAGCATGTGAGAACATGTACGTGCGAGCTCTTGCCATCAAGCATTCACCTATCAACATGCAACACATCCACTGCTGGTGCAAGCACCCACCCATGTGCCCTCATGAATGCAGTGGCATGACCATCAACATATGGCTGACCATCACTGAAATGCTCACACGGCTTAACCTTTCTGGGAAGGTGAAGTGCCATCCCCACCCCAGGTACCTTGGAGGACACCCTGGCATTCTCCAGCAGCACCCGTGTCCACACAGCCGGGTGCCGGGCCACGAACTTCCAGTCCTTGCACACCTCGGCCGCCCGCAGCAGTGTCTTGGTGTCCAGGTAGGTGAAGATGCAGAAGAGAGCTGCACGCATCTTGAGGATCTCAGGGCTGATCACCTCACTGGAGTGGCCTGGGCTGCCCCTCTCCAGCCGGCACACCTTGCCCCCAGCACCCTCAGTCCTGGCTGTGGGACACCCAGCGTCAGTAGCCACTGGTGGAAGGGAAGGACAGCAGGTAAGGGAAGCTCCATCCCTGTTCCCCACCTTCTGACCTCCCCATCCTCCACCTTCCAACCTCCCCATCCTCCACCTTTCAACCTCTCCAACCTCCACCTTCCAACCTCCTCATCCTCTACCTTCCAACCTCCTCACGTCCCTATCCTCCACCTTTCAACCTCTCCAACCTCCACCTTCCAACCTCCCCACCCTCCCACTCCACCAGAAGAAACCACTGTGGTCTCACCTGTCAGCCGGCAGCTGCCGGTGGGTCGGGATGCAGCAGATCCCGGTGCATCTGGCTCCCATCCCTCAGCCTCTGACTCGGTGGTGCGGGAGCCGACGTCGGAGACATCTCCTTCCTCTCCCTCAGTACTGTTGCGGTAGGGCCGTCGGTGCCAGTTCTGGATGGCTTGGCGGCGCAGCCCCGAGCCCCGGGCGCCATCCCGTGCCGGGTAGGGATGTCCATCGGCCGTGTCATCAGTGGGACATGGCTCTGCGCTGTCGCTGTCGTAGCACCCCGAGCTCTGTGACACAGCTTTCGCCCGGCTTGAGGCCCTGGGGGACAGGGATTGCCAACCTCAGGGCTCGCCGGGTGTGCATCCCCTTCCCAACAGCTCCATTAATGAGTATCCCATTGAAATCCCAAACAGGCAGCATGGATAGGGACTCACCCAGTGCTGGAGGAGGAGCGCTGGTTGGACACGCCGTAAGGACCATGTATGGCCACTCCTGGCCCTGGGTGCCGGTCTCTCTGCAGGGAGACAGGACAAGAGAAGCCAGCTTGGCAAAGCCAACCTGTGAGTGGTGCAGCTGAGGGAAATGACCCCACTAACCCTCCCAGCACCAGCTGCCTTTTGGGGTGAGGCCCACACTCAAGCAGGATGAAGAAGAGCATCTCCAGCATCACTCCAGTGCCATGGAAACACAGACCCACTGAGAAGCAACTTGTCTTTGGCATCCCCCCACCCATGATTGTCCATTTCCCCATGGGAATGAGATGGGTGTCCCTACACCTTTCTGCTCAACCCTTCACAGCCCACAAAGAAGCCCCACGGGTGCATGCTCGACGACACTGTGTGCCCGTGCCTGTGCCCGCGGAGGTACCGGTCGCCCGATGGCCTTGATCCCTGGCGTGCCACAGCGTCCCAGGCTGCCATTTGGGGTGGTGCCACAGCTGCTGCTGATGATCTGGAGCTGCTTCTCAGCCCTGTCCGCTCGGTCCAGCAGCTCCTCGATGAAGTGCTGCAGACGGACCTTGGCGTTGGCCTCACGGGCTGCCGTCTCCTTCAGGAACTGGTCGATCTGCAGCACCTCCCTGTGTGAAGGGACCAGTGGGTAACGCTCCAATCCTTCCCCACCCATCCCTGCTGAGCACCTCCATCCCTGTCTCTGAGCTGGGCTGGGAGTCAAGGATGCTTGTGCACATCCAGACTGTTCCATCAGGTTGGACTTGATGATCTCAGAGGTCTTTTCCAATCTTAATGGTTCTGTGATACTCAGCCTGATCTGGGTCTGTGCCAGCCCAGACAGCTCCTGGGATGGTTTGGGGCAGAGCAGGGACCAAGGGATGCTCCTGGCATGCAGAGTGGATGTTGACAGATTGTTTTGGGAGAGAATGACATCCCCAGCACCTCATACATCACTTCCAGGACTGGATTCAGGCTCCTGAGCATGCTGGAGCAGAGGGAAGAGGATGATGATGGTGTGGCAGGGTGATCGAGAAGGATGGCAGTGATATCCTGCCTGACCATGCAGATCTGAACAACTGATCTGCTCAGAATTACAAAGGGAGGTGGCATCCGTTAGCAGCATAATTCCCATTGCTTGCTATTAATTACCAATTAATTATCAATTAATTACCAATTAATTGTCCCCCAACGTGCCACTTTGCAGGCTGAGCCCTGTTGATGCCCTGGGAAGGCTCCTGGTGAGGGCCCCAGGAGATCTGGAAGGCAAATGGAGTGCTGGGCAGCAGGTGTAAGGTGATGCTGATGGTTATCACCTGCATCTCTCTCATTCCCATGGACTGGGTGGAAAAACACCCCTGGCAAAGCAAATGGAGCCTGGGAGCAAAAAGTCTCACACGGGGACAATGACCTCATGGTGTTTCAGACCTGGGATATGTCCCAGGACATGATTTTGGGGCAGGGTGAATTGGTTTTGCCAAGGAAAATGATTTCTGATGATTTCCCCACATCTAGCAGAAAACCATCTCTTACCATCAGCCTTTTCCCTGCTCTCTCTGCAACCTGGCAAGGGATTTTGTCTTTCTGGATGGAGGAGTTTGGGGACAGATGGGGACAATCAAGGGGCAGAATGACCTCACTAAGGAAAGGGAAGTGCAGGAGGTAGTTTTGGGGCATAAAACCAGTTTTTTAGGTGGTAACAGTGTCCAGGTTCCATCATGGATGGAACAAGAGACATTTGACCTTTCAGTCACCCTCTGTTTACCTTGTCTACATGTCTTCAGGCTCTGCTACAGATTTGTCCATGCTGGTGTCCCTCATTCCATCACCATACACCCTCATGTTGCCCCTGGATAACACCCACAAGGCAGCTGATGGCAACCCCCAAACCTCCCCTTTGCCTGCCCCACACACATGCACCCAGTCCTTGAAGTGTTGCCCTTACCCAGCCTCAGTGTCATCCATAGCTCCTCACCCTACATCCTGTGAACCCTGTTCCAGGGGACCAGCCCCACCACCACCACTACACCTTGTGAACCTCATTTCCGAGCCAAAGTCATTATTTTGGATTCAAAGTCATTAACATACATGCTGAGGATGGTGGAGATCAAGATAAATCCTTAAGGAATCCCACCAGTGCTCCCAGTCCAGCACAAACATGGCTATCCCCCACTAATCTGCTTCTCACTGTCTTTCTGGACCACATGGTGGCCTCCAGATTTGCTAAGAAACTCCTGAGGAACAAGGTCTAATTTGTTCGGACATCTCCGATGGGCCAAGTGACCCAATACTTGACTGGAGGGAAACTCAGGAGCAGCACTGGGGTGGAAAGGGGGTGTTGAGTGGGGAATATGGGATGAAAATGAGGATGACAGTGTCATGGTCCTAACAGCAAATGCAGGTCATACTGCTTTGGCTGTCCCACCCTCCTTCTGGGAGAAATCCCCTGAATTTGGCACAGCCAAGGTGGCCACTTTTGGACCATGGAATAGGTCAATGGGATGCTCAGGTTGAATAGGGATGGAAAATTTGGCTGTGGAGCCACATTGGATGAGCCAGCCCTGGTTTTGGGGGGACATCCTTTGGGACTAGAGATGGGCTGCAGCAGCATAGCCCCCACCAGTTCTTTGGTAGGACAGCAGGATGGCCATGTGCATCTATTGGAAGGTGTTCCTGCCCGTGACAGGGTTTTGGAACAAGATGGGATTTAAAGTCCCTTCTAACGCAAACCATTCCATGATTCTATGATCCCCAGCCAGCCTGCCCATGACCTGAAAGCGCTGGTGGCTGTGCGATAGGGTCTGGCATGCCATGAGCCAGCTTAGTCACAGCCATGGAGGGGCTCAGGTCCATGAGGACACTGACTGTGTGAGAAAAGATGCAAAACCTGATAAGGGATGATGCTAATGGGCATTGCCAAGGGGACTGTGCCTGAGCACTCGGTCTGAGAGTTTGGTGATGGTATTGGGCTCCTTGGGACTCATAGAATCACAGAATGGTTTGGGTTGGAAGGACCTTAAAGATCACCTAGTTCCAACTCCCTGCCATGGGCAAGGACAGCTTTCACTAGCCCAGGTTGCTCCAAGCCTCATCCAACCTGGCCTTGAACACCTCTCTGGGATTCATCACCAGGGAACTATTTCCCCCCACCCTGCAGTAAGGAGAGGGGACAAAGGACTCACTGTTGCTTGCGGGTGAGCTCCTGCTCCTTCTGCACCAGGTCCTGCTTGAGGGAGGCCAACATCTCCACGCTGACATCCACCTGGCGGGACAGCTCTGATGCCCGGTCCTCCAGCTCCTGCTTCTCCCTGCTGAGCCGCAGGCTCTCCTGCTTGGCCTTCTCCAGCTCCGAGCTCTTGCGGTCCAGCTCCACCTGGAGCCGGCCCACCTGTGAGGCGATCTTCTGCTCCACCTCCTCCGTCAGCTTCTCCAGCCGCTTGTCCACCTCCAGCTTCTCAAAGGCGCGGATCTTCAGGCGGGCCAAGCCTTCCTCATAGGCAGTGTCCATCGTGGCTGGTGGCACTGGCGCCGGCGCCACGGCTTTGCCCCGGGTGAAGATCTCCGTCAGTGGGATCTCGATCTCGTGGACATAGCGGGGAGAGGGGGAGGAGGACGAGGCTGGCTCCAGCTCATCGGCAGGGACGAGGTCACAGGAGAAGCGCTGGTCCTTGCCTTGGAAGGAGGTGCTCTCAAAGTAGTCCCTCCTTGCGGCCGGTGTCAACAGGGCCCCGTCGGCGGCCAGGGGGAAGACAGCAGCATCGCAGATGCTGTTGGTCTTGGAGAGGACGTAGAGGGTCTCATAGGTGTGGTTGTACTCCAGGTGTGCCCGCAGCGAGGAGAGGCTGCGGAAGCGCTTGTGCTCTCCGCACCGCGGACACCGATAGGGCAGGTCCAGCGAGGCCATCCCTCAGCTCTGCACCCTGACGCAGGGGAAGCGCATGGCCCTGCTCATGGTTTGGAATGGAGGGACTGGGAGCAGGTGGGATGGGGTGGGGAGCCCTGGGTGGTGGGGTCACTGCTCCACTGGGGCATGGCAGGGGGAGAGTCCTGGGATGGAAGTTTGAGGTCTGAAAAGTCTCAGGGGGGAATGTCAGCATCGACTGGTCACAGGCACTGGAAAAGATAGGGGGGTTAGTGATACAGGGATGATGGGTCCCCAGAAGTCCTTCCTTGGTCCCTCTTATCAGTCCCCCGTCTGCCTCCATTCAGCCTTTCCATTTTCCTCCCACTCATGCACAACCCTTGGGAATGTGCAGAACCCTTGAGAAGAACCTTGGGAAGACCCATAACTTTTGGGAACCCCCACAACCCTTGGGAAGTTCCATAACCTTTGGGAAGCTTCACAGCCCTTGAGAAGCTACACAACCCTTGGTCAGAATCACAACTTTGAGGAAACTTCACAACCCTTGGGAAAACCCACAATCCTTGGACTCAATGATCTTAGAGGCCTTTTCCAGCCTAAAGCATTCTGTGATTCTGAGAGCCCTTGGGAAGATCCATAACTGTTGGGAAGGATCCCCACTCTTTGAAAAGGTGCACAACCATTTGAGAAGAGTACAGTCAAGAGGAAGGTGGACAATCCATGGGAAATCTCTCTCCATCCACCTGGATCTTGCCACAGAAAATGGCAGAGGTGACCCATGTGCTTTCTTGCCCAACCACCAGAGACTGAGTCCCTGCAGTGTCAGAGGTCTTCAAGTCCTAGGATCATCCCTGCTTGGGACCCACCTTCTCCAAGCAAAAGGTGACCCACTCCTACTAGATCAACCCATGCAGCCTCCCAACAGGATTCATCTCCAAGAGTTCTCATCAAACCATGGGACCTCCCAAGCTGCAGAGGACATGGTGGCTTCCTGTGCCTGGACAAGTGAGGGTCCCTGTGGTTTTATTCCCCACTCACAAAATCCCCCAAGACATAATGGGAGGAAAACCCTCACCCTTGTGACATGGGATAAACCTCCAAAAATCCAGCCTGGGAGGTCACTGTCATCTCCTCCAGCCTGGGAGGCATAAGCATACATCAGGGGACAATGTTTCATTTTTCATTCATTTTTCACTCAACAGTGCAAACTGCAATCTTTTCACCCTAAAACACTGAGAAGTGGGAGCATCCCTTGCTCATCCCTCTGTAATATCCCACAAAGAGCTCTTTCCACCATCGTGAACCCCCCCCAAGCCCTCCTGTACCCCATAATCACCAGCTGGTGAGCAGTGAACCACCACAGAACCCTCTATCCATGCTGGTCCCCAGGGAAGCATCCCAGGTGGCTCAGCATTCCCTCAGAGGGCACAACCAGGCCACAAGGTTGGTAAACCATTTTTTACAGGAAAAATCGGTAAAGGCAAGAAATCCATGCCAAAAAAACCATAAATGAGATTAGCTGAGAGGGTTTCTGGACCTTCCTGGATGTGTTTTGGGGTCATTACAAAACACACCCTCACATGTTAACCCCACCTGGGCGACCACCGGTGACAGCCTGACGGAAACCCGGTGAGCACAAAGCGCCTCCGGCAACTTCGGTGGCTGCCAATGGGATGAGAAAGCGCTTTTCCACCTTAGGGATGGGGCCACAGCATCCTGCCACCGGGATCTCAGGCCTGGATCCCTGCCCGTGGCTCCCAATCAGCCTCAGCCTCTATTTCCCAGCCGTAAGCTAAGGCAGGATCTGGCCCAGGTGGGTTGGAATGCACACATCTCCCCGTCCTTCTCCTGGGCAGGTCCTACCCTGACCAGAGAACCTCTCCTCCCTTCCAAGCCCCTAGCAACGAGCAGGATTTAAGGAAATTATTAGTGGAGTCATTACTACGGTGGGCACGCTAATAAAGCCCACAGGAATCCGGAGCCGGGAAACGACCGCCGGGAGATTGCAGCATCCCTGGGCTGCTCCAGCGCCGCTACCTGCGATTCATCATGGAGCCTTTCTTCGCATTGTTTAACATTTTTCCTGCCCACCCCCCAAAAAAATATATTACCAGCAGGCAGCTCCACTGCCTGGTTGGAGATGGAAGGGGGGATGGAGAAGAGGGGTGGCGGTGGTGGATAATACCGGGGTGGTGGATGCTGCCGGTGCCGCAGGTCCCCATCCCTCACCGGCTCTCCAGAGGGATGGGAAAGAGCAGGGTGGGAGCACCGTGGTGGGCGAGGGCGACTGGGGATGAGGCACAGGAGGTTTAGGGGAGGCGTGCATGAAAATCCGGGGTGCATTTAGCCCCCCACAG